AGACCCTAACTCAGAGCCTGGGCTGGGGGTGGGGTCATCCCTGGGACACACAGTGGTGCCCAGGACCTGGTGGCAGAGCAGGATGGGAATGGCAGAACTGACCCTCCAGCCCCGGTGCTGCCCGACCTGCTGGACTCGGAAGACCTCTGCTGGCTACAGACAGAAGTGCACAGCTCCCCTCCAGAGGAGAGGCCGGAAGCTGGGGAGGCCCAGCTGGAGGGAGGGACGCCCCCTGCGCCCCCCTGCACCCCCATCCCAGCCAACTCGGGGTGCGGGCTGTGGGGAGCTCACAGCCTCCAGTGTAGGGCGCCAGGGTGGGAAGGACACCAGGAGGCCTCTCACCAAGCACCCTCTCCCCTGGGTGGCCAGGCTGCCTAGGGCCGTTAATTGGCTCTATTCATCCCCTTAATGAGATGGAAATGAGGCTTCCAGACAGAGCTGGCATTGAGTGGGGGAAGAAAGGCGGCTTCTTTCCGGGCCTGGAGGGGCAGCCCACCCCCCAGCCTGCTTGCTGCTCCTCTGCTGCCCCTCACTGCCCACCCAGCTCAGACACACTGGCCACCCAGCAAAGGGTGGCTTGAACACCTCTGCGCCCTGCACTACAGACCCCAGGGGCTCCATCCTGGCTTTGATGCATTCACTGGGCAAACACTTACTGAGTGTCAGCTATGTGAGGGGACACACATAGAAAACAAAACAAGAATAAAAATAGCAGCTACCGTTTTCTCAGTGTTTATTAGTGGCAGGAGTGTGACCAAGATGAAGGATCAGTCTGTGACTGGGATCAGGGCTCAGTATGTGACAGGATCAGGAATTCTGTGTCCAGGACCAGAGGTCAGTCTGTGATGAGGATCAAGGCTCAGTATGTGACCAGGGTCAGGGATCAGTGTGACTAGAATCCAGACTCAGTATGCGTCCAGGGTCAGCTTGTGACCTGGATCAGGGCTCAGCACGGGTCCAAAGTCAGGGCTCAGTATGTGACCAGGGTCAGGGCTTGGTTTGTGGGGGCAGGGTGATCCATCCTCTGGGCCAGTGTCCCCCCTGCACAGCCTCTCCTGATGTGCCCCCGCCCCTTCTCCCCCTACCACATCCTTACCACCTGGGTCACCAAGGTAACCAGCCCTGAAATGAGTGGGTGTTTTGGCAGCTGAGGCCTAACCTGGGTCTATCCTGAAAGGCTGCGCGCTGCAGCAGTTGCCATGGGAACCGAGTGGCATCCTCCGATGAGCCTGGCTTGGACACCCTCTCTCTCCCACCCACTGCCAGTTTCCACGTCACTCAGGCTTCCGCGTGGGGGTTGGGCTGGGATGGCGAGGGGGGTGCTGCAGTACGTGCCACCCTGACCCATTATTGCCAGGCCCGCCTCTCAGGACCCTGTCTGTGCCTTTGCCTCATAATCGGGGGGTGAGATGCCTTCAGCAGGGGAGACCACTGAGGCCTGGAGCGCCTGGGCCCCGGTCAGTCCTGGCAGGAGGCCATAGTCTGGGGGATTGGGGGGCGTTTGGAATCTGACCACCAGTTCAAGTCCAGGTTCCTCTCCTTGTCCTGAGTTAGGGCATGTGACAGGGCAGCCACGAAGGGCCTGTCACCTGTTCCTGTGCTGTGAGCACGTGCCACCCTGTCCTGCCCTTGTGCCCTGGAGGCTGTGCTGGGTCCCCTACCTCCCCTGGCATGGCATGGGCCAAGCACATTGTGAAGGAAGCAGCCAGGTGCTCTCCTCTCTGGGACCTATGGGAGTGTGGCTCTGTGAGGGAAGGGAGAGGGTTCTGCAGCAGGTGTGGGGGCCTGGAAGATTCCCCCCACCTGATGGTCCCCAGCAGGGAGAATGAGGCACCCACTCCTCACACAGCTGTGGCAGGTCAAGTTCCTCTCTTGCATCTCATCCCTGTGCCCCTGGCACCCCCTGCTGGCCATTCCTGGCATAGGTGTGGGGAAGTGGGGCAGGGTGGGGGGTGCTCTGGTTGGACACTGAGTTTGCTGAAAATCAAAGTGGGGCCCCAGGAATCAACTCTGACCCAAATGACAATGCCCACACACCATCCTCCCCACATGCATTTTTGCTGTTTGCCTTCCCACTGCTCAGTCCTGGGAGGTCAGCCACTATCCTCATGTTGTAAATGACGGGAGTGAGGCCAGTGGGTAGTAGAGCCACTGGGGGAACCTGGCGGCTGGAGCTCCCCTGGGGTCTCCTGCAGTCCACACTCCCACTGCGGAAGGCAGGGCCCCTTCCCTGAGGCTCCGAGAGGCCCTGGGGCCCTTCTGGTGGGTCAGGGTGGCCTGTGCTTGGCCTGATTGCTGCCCCGGGGCCTCCCCTGCTGTGCCTGGGATCGAGAGGCCAGATCCCCAGTGCTCCCCAGTGGCAGCATGGGGCAGTGGCCCCAACTTCATGGTGGGTCCCCTCGTGGTGGCCGCCAGCTGTCTCCTCGCCACCTTGGCCAGGAGCAGGCACTTGGCAAGGGCTGAATGCCCTTTCCAAGTCGCCCCGACCCTGCTGCATTGGGTGTGCATTAGCCCAGAGTGCTGGGCAGGAGGCCCAAGCGGGATGCCTGAACGCGGCAGCCCCTTCCTGGCCCCCTGGTGCCGTTGCCCCTCTCTGGCCCACAGATGGCAGTGGCCGTCTCCTGCTTTGTGCTCCTCCATGGCTACCCAGTGCTCCAGGACCATGGGCACTCCAAGTGGCCCAAAGTGTTCTTGGCAGCACGAGGACCCCCGGGGAGCAGAGACTCCTGGGGCATGAGGTCTGGTTTGCTGGGGGAACACAGGTCCATAAAGGCCATGGGCACTGTTAGGGCCGGGATGGAGGAAGACCCACCAGAGAAGCCGAACAGAGTGGCTGGGGTCAGGGCAGGGGCGTGGTGGGGAGGGGCCTGCAGGCATTTGTCCCAGGCTCCCTCGTGTGGCCAGCTGGCCAGGTCCAGGGCAGGCTCAGTCAGGCTGTGCCCTGGGTTCGAGGCCCTGGTTGGATACCAGGTGTGAGGCCTTGGTCACCACTGGTATCCCTGCGTGGGGTGAGGAAGCGGCTGCAGGTCACAGCTGGGGTGTGAAATGTGGAGCCCTGGTGATGAGGATGGTGACCCTCCGCTGAGCCCATGAGGAAACTGAGGCTCTGATGAGCAGGGCCTGGCCAGAAACTGGATGGAGCCTGGGGGCTTCCAGGCGTGCCAGGAAGGAGAGCTTTGGCGGCCAGGCCCCTCCACCCTCTGCTCACCATCAGGACGCTGAGTTGTGAGGCAGCCCTCGAGTGGGCGAAGGTCGTCATCCCTTCATCATCCTGGCAGCAAACCTGTCCAGCGGCGGCTGGCACACGGGGACCCTTCCGGCTCAGGCGTGACCTGAGCTCTCCAGAGTGGACCCGGGAGCTGGGTAGACACCGGACCCCCAGGTCCTCCCAGGCCAGG